AACCCTCCCATGGGAGGGGACAGCTTTTGGGGACCTTGGAATAAGTAGCTTCATAATTTAAACTGAGTATTTACAACTTTCTTGACAGAGAGCCACCACCTGCATCCTGGGGCCCATCCCTCCTCAGCTACAGAAAGCTCGGAGTGGATGGTGACGATTCCATGCTGAGGAGAGAGAGCTTCAGGAGTGCCCACACTGCCTCTTTTATTTGTATCTTGTTTTATTTTATTCTATCCTATTCTTTGGAACAGGGTCTTGCTATGCGGTCCTGGCTAGCCTGAAACTCACTCTAAATCACATGATGTCCTCAGACATGCAGGAACCCTCGCTCCTCAGCATCCTGGGCGTGGAGTTTGCGCACCACCCTATCTAGCTACGCTTGAGCTGTGCTGTTGTAAACTGCGGGAAATGATCCTCCCCAGGCCCTGAATTATCGATTCAAATTACTTTTCCTTAACAAGAATCAACTACAGAACATGAATAGAGATTAACAATCAGAAAAGACATGTTCCAGGATGCATGGCTCAAGGGATGGGTGGAAGCAACAGTGAGTCTGGAGGATCTCATGAATGTCATCCCAGACATGGTGGACATGACAGAAAGAAAGAAAAAGAGGCTTTGCAGACGGATCACAGGGAGCTGGAGGGTGGCTCAGCAATCACAATCATGCTCTTTACAAACATGAACCAGAATTCAGTTCTTAGTGCCCACAACAGGCATCTTACAGTCTCTGCAACTCCAGCTGAAGGAGATCTGACACTCTGAACTCCACCAGCAACACACATGCGCGCGCACACACACACACACACACACACGCACATGCACACACACAATTTTTAAAATTAAGTAAAACTGAAAATGGATTAAAGCTTTTATGCTGAAATATAAAAAGGTCAAGCAATCCCCAGCTTTTACTTATGGAAGGAAGTAAAGTGAAGGAAGCCCTTCAAGAGTGTGTAGGACCATGGGATGGCTCGAGCCTAGCAGATCAAAACAAGACTTGCAGCAGGAGGGAAATAATGAGAACTGGTACTGTGGAGATGGATGTAGATCGAAGGCCCATGCTATCCAGAACCGGTGGGGTGGCTGGAGGTACGGAGAGCCCATGCATGCAGAAGGTACAGATATTTAAAATGGTCCTGTTCAGGCTGCAGGCACTTTCCATCTCACAGCCCATTCTAAACATCACTAAGGAAAGGGGACTACCGCTCCCAGCAGCTGAGAAAAAGACTCAGGAGTTAGTTCCCTCTCTCTTTCCTTCTACCCTCCTCACCCACATCCACTGGGAAAGAAAACTGTGCTTAGGATGGTCCAGAATCTATGACTTCTGCCTCTTGCCTGAGATGCACAAGTCCAGCTCCATTCCATCCATGTAGAGACCCAGACTAGTATCCTCTGATCTTATTGTTGCTCCAGTTTATAGGGACCCTCACATCTCAAAAGCAATACTAACAACGGGGCCCCTGGATGCCCGTTCACTATGGAGATGATTTTGAGGCGCATAGGGAAGAATGCCAGATGCAGGACCTCAGTGTTGACTAAAACCTGTAGTGAGAATTTTGGTTTCTTAAAAAACGAGTTACGTGAATATGTCTTTGTTTTAATCCCAGGTGTGGGATATGGGACTGCTTCAGTTTGCCCACAGCTGTTAAGTATGACTTGTCTCGTGATCTAGGAAGGGTGTGATTTTTAGCAGCTGCAGATAGATAATGGTTGGGACTCAGGAGAGAATATAAATAAGAGTCCTGAGGGGGCCTGTGGGGGTGCTTGCTCTCTCCCTGCTGCTGCTGCTGCTGGATATTCTGACTACAGAGATAGGACTTGCCTCTAGATACCAAGCACTCTTAATCAGCAGGAAGTAACCTAAAGTGGTCTATTCCCCCTTTCCCTCTTAACCTTCTTTCTCTCCTACCTAGTGTTAAGGGATTGGAACAGATTAGAGTGAAACAAGGGTTGGGAATATGGTAGATATAAGCAGTGCACCTGAAAAAAAAGAGAACCCCTTCTCAAGTGCCTGCCCTCTTCACACAGGCTCCGCTGAGGAACTGGGGATCCCGCACAAGCTGACATTCCTCAGAGGGCTCTGACGTCTCTATAGGAATAACTCTGGAACACACTGGATGTCCATGGCTCCCAAGGTAAACTGAGGCAGAAGCCTCCTCTCTATTCTGTGACACCCCAATTTCCTCATTCATCTCAACTCATCTAGACAAAGAACCCTGCCCTTGCTCACCCCATAACCTCTGTCAAAATTCTTTCCAAATAAAAGTGTAGCTCGCCTCCAGACCCATCAAGTGCTCAGTCCGCCACTTTATCAGCTACTAAAACACCACTAATTCCACACAACTGTTCACACTTTGATCACAAGCTCCTAGCTCATCCTGATGGCGTACAGTCCAGAAGAAAAACCCTGCAGTTATCTTCACAGTTAATTCCTGAAATGTATCTGTGCCGCTCACAGCAAATACATACTTTTCTTCAACATGGGAAATTAGAAATGGTTTACTAAAGTCGGTGTCTTTCGGCAAAACTTGAGTGCTTGTTTATGGGGGCTGAGTCATCTCAACAGCAGGACTGACGGCATCTGGGACTCAACTGTTCCCACTCTTGCGCACTTCAGAGTCCAGGCCCATTCCAGAATATCACAGCAACGTGAGTGCCCAAACCGGACTCTTCTATGTGAAGCACTTCAATTTTTTTCCTCTTCTCCCCTCAATTCCCAGCCCCTACCTCAACTCTCCTTTTATCAACTCTTTTCTTAGGATAAGTGGCTCCACTTGAGGCTTCAAGGGACAACCAAACGCTTGGCCACGAGCTGGGAGGCATATCCTCCGTCCGAAGGACCGCAGCTTACGCTGACAACAGATCTCAGCTTGATGAGACACCCTGAGACAGCCACAGGGTGACGCTGTTCTCAGCGTATAGACTTTCGGATACTGAGTGGTGATGAACATTTTCTACTTTCACCTGTTAGGTTGTGGCATAATTCGCTGTGTAGTGACAAGTGGCTAATACACTGTGCCCTCAACAATAGGAGCATCACGGTATGGAAGTGATCGGACCTGTGCCAATAACTGAAGCACACTTTGTCTTGCTCCTCGTGCCCTTTAGGGAAGATGGAACACAGCATGCCTGTCTCCATATGGCAAGCAAGACATTGAATACCATTGGCTTTTGCAGGTACCCAAGATGCTGAGAATACTGAATGGAGAGGATAAAGGTATTTATCTTGAGGAATAGGCAGGAAGAAATAGCCAAGAATATCACTACCCCACCCAATCCAATACCATTATTCTTTTATGGTTGAACAAAACAAAATAAAAATACAGCTAAAATGATGACACAGGAGGAGAGAATAGGAGACAGTATTCTGAAATCCTTTGGTAATAATTGTGCACCTATCTTCACATTTCTTCAGTCACTCGCCTCTCTCTACAATGGCAGGGAAAAAATTCATAGATGGGGAAGGAGATGGTGTATTACCTAAAAAGCCACTGACCAAAGGGTGAGGACTCAGCTTTAGCCCGTTTCCTTGCTCTTGGGAGCTTATTTGCCCCATACTCATTGGACCTTCAGATATAGGGCACCAGACAATGTGGCACTCTCTGCTTGACTGTCCATGGCTGCCTTCAAGCAGGATGAAACCTCAGACTCAGGCCCTGGGATAGAACCTCCCCGCTCCTGGATTTTTGGAAGCCCCCATGCTTACTCTTTGTTCCCAGGCTCCTGCTCTCTAGTTACCTTCATCAAAGGTCCCTTCTGCTCCTTTGGTGAGGAAAGGCTGAGACGCATTAGAGGCAGCAAAGAGGACCACTAGGTCCTAAGAGCACAGAGGAAATCATGTGGAAAGGTGGCCTCTTTGGGTCAGCTTAACTTGGCCCTTTCCCTGGAGACCTAGAGACTTGTTCTTAGACATAGCAAGCCTGCCTCCTGGCTGGGATACTGGTCCCTATTACCTGAGAGTGATGATGAACCAGCTGGGAGGCTAGCACCAGCGCATTAAGAGTTTGGAGAACACGTGAAGGCAAGAACTTAAGCAAGGAGCTAGAGGCAGGAACCATAGCAAAAGAACACTGCTTCCTGGCTTTCTCTCTGTGGCTTGCTCAACCTGCTTTTGTATATCACCCATGACCACCTGCCAGGGGTGGCGCTGTTCTCCATAAGCTGGGCCCTCCCACACCAACTATTATTCAAGAAAACGAGTCTACAGACCTGCCTACAGGCCAATCTCTTGGAGACAATTCTTCATTGGCATTCCCTTTCTCCACATATGTCTAGGTTTGTATCAATTTGAAAAAAAAAAAAAAAACAACCAGAACATATGGGTTAACTCTTTTAATCCAAATTATGAAAAAGTAATGGGGTGTGATCTGAAAATTGTAATTAGCCTTCTCCGAACTGAGTTAGAAACTGTAACTAAGACAGAACCAATATTTAGTTTAATGCCAAGAAGATTCTCCAGCACCACATACATACATACACACATACATACATACATACATACATATATACATACATACATACATACATACATACATACATACATACATACATATATACATACATACATACTTACATGTATACATACATACATTCAAGTGTGTGTGCCTGCACCCATGCATATGTGCGTACATACACACAAATGTTTTCTTCTAGAAGTTTTACAAATTCATTTCCAATATGAATTCATTTTCTTCCCTTCCTTCTGTTTTTGCCTTTCTTTAGTGTTATTTTCAGATTTGATTTTACTTTATTGCTGCTTTGATTTACCTAATTGCCCTGGCTAGGACTTCTGAAAGTATACTAAGAAGGGGGGAAATGTTGAAATAGTCACCTCCGCGTGTTTCCTGACATTGCAAGAAGAAATGGACTTAAGTTTTCACATGAAGAACAGAGAAGCAGTCATCAGTTTTTATTTGTCCCATGTTTTGGACATAGCCATCCAATTACAGCAGCGGGTCTGTGTGCACAGGATTGTGGGATTGCCGGTGCCTGGATGATCAAAGCAAGACTTTCAGCAGGAGAAGAACAACTGGAAGTGATGAGATGGACTTGAGGGCAGGGCTGCCATCGGGTGGGATGCATTTGGCTTGGATATTTATGCCGTCGAAGACGGTCGTACTCATATCGCAGGCACTTTCAGTTGCACAGCCTTTCCCATACAGCGAAAGAGAAGTTGCCGCTGCTAAAAGAAAGCGAGGCAGTTAGTTCTATCTCTCATTTCCCTCCTCACTCGAGTCCGCTGGGGAAAAGAGACGTGCCCAGAGTGATCTTAAATATGTAACCTCTCTCTCTGGGTGGTAACATGAAAATAGCTCCATGCATAGGCTGAGCCTCTGTTTAAGGCACACATACCAACATGGGGTTCAGAGCTCCTTCATTACAAGAGAGGAACTTAATTCAGGAAGGACGCCGGCTGAAGGAGCTCCAGTGTTTGGCTACATTTTTAAGTGTATCTGGGCTCCTTCCTAACTTACCTGTGGACAATAGGGGGAAATACAGATCCCCTCCAGCTAAAATGCTTCCAAGACCGCTGAGTTGCACAGGAGACCAATACTGTGGAAACATGTCTGTGCTTCCCGTGGAAAACTGAAGTAGAAAGCTGTCCTGCTATGGATGGATTCAACCCCACTCTGTACCCTGTGTGGCATCCCATTGTCCTTTCCCCTTCTCACCTAGACCCTCCTTCAAGATTCCTCCTAATAGGAGGCCAGACTTGCCTTCAGGTAATCAAGTTCTCAGCTCTACAACCATAAGATATCTCACATGTGGCTCTGGGAAGAGTTGCCAATGCCTCCCTCTAGTCATATGGTTCCCAGAGAAAAACCCCACAGTTGTTTTTCTAGTTCCCACCTGAATGACGTATGACCCTGGACAACAAACACATAGTCCTTCCCGCTCAGGAAAAAGCATAAAACTTTTTACTAAAGTCACAGTGACACTGTGAAAAACTCAAGTGCTTAACTATGTGACATCCAGAAATAGTCACCCCCTGTGCTGCCATTGAGCCAAAGTCCCGTTACAGGGCATCACAGCATGGCAGGTGCAAGCCCTTGTATTTCTTTCCCTTAACCTCAACACCTTCCCTTCAACTGCCATCAAAAGGCCCCTCCAGATCTTGGAGAGAGAAACAAATGCTTGGGCCTATAGTGCCCTTTGCTCTATGAGAAACCCATTTTCTACCAGGACTCCCTGGCCCCAACTCACTCCACCTATTGGCAGAGTGGCTTTCTGTAAGGCCCACTCGTGTTGAATCAGGACTGTATCAGGATAGATGTGGAGACAAGGGGCCTTTAGCATTAGGTGATGAGAAAAATGGGATGCAGGTAATGGACATGTGAGTCATGACAGAACATGGAGCTAATCGGTTTCCTAGCTTTGATTTTGTCTTGGATTTGTTGTTGTTTTGGTTTGCTTGCTTGGTGTGTGTGTGTGTGTGTGTGTGTGTGTGTATGTGTGTGTGTATGTGTTTGTGTGTGTGTGTGTGTGTTTTGTCTGTGCCTATGCATATAGTTAACAATGAAAGTATAACATTTAATGTAAATCTCCACAGCTTCAGAATAGCTATTCTAATTGTATAGAAGTTCATGGAGATATATAATCTTTGGGTCTGCCTATTCACACTTTATGATGTTCTTTTTATTTGTAAGTTCTTTGCAATAAATTTTTAATTTTAAAAATTAAAAAAACAAATAGGAGCAGAAATGACATATCATTTCCAAGTTTAGACAATTAAAATCTATAGCTCCCCTTATCAGTCTGCTCCATCTGTCTCATCACTAATGTTGAGGGAAGTCAGTTGATACAGCATGAGGCTGCTTCATGAAGAGGATTTGAAATCATGAGTGAAGTAGAAAGCAGGCCCTCTAACCGAAGGACCACAGACCCCGCTGACACACAGCCCTGGGAGACAGCCTGAGCCAGAACCAATGTCAGTGCTGTGCTCAGATTCTAGGCTGCAGAGACTGGATGCAATGAAAGAATGCTATTTTCAGCTGCTGAGCTTTGGATACACAGAAGCAAGTGGCAGATACACTAAATCCTTGACAGACATCTGCATCTTAAACTAACAAACAAAAAGAAAAGGGAGAAAACAAGAGGGGCTGCCTCTAGCATGAACTTGGTTGACTGCTCTTTGATCACTAGCCCCTGATGATGCAGGCTTGCCAGGCCACCAAGGAAGAGGATCCAGGCAGTCTGATGAGACTTAAAAAGCTATGGGTAGATGGCAGAGGAGGAGAACTCCCCCTTTCAGTGAACTAGGGGAAGGGGATGGGGGGAAAAGGGAGGAAAGGTGAGACTAGGGGGGAGTTGAGGAACGGGGCTTCAGTCGGGTATATAATGAATAAGTTGCGAAGAAAAAAATTAAAATTAAAAAGTATATATATCAAAACATTTGAGGAAATAGCTCATACCTGTGCCGGTAAACTCCACACACTTTTTCTCATTTCCTGTGCACTCTATGGTAGCATTTACTTTGCATGATTTGCCTTTCTCAGTGTAGCAGGCAGCACACCGAACACCATTGGGTTCTGAAGATGGTGAAGGCACTGAATGGAGAGAAAAGGTTTTCTTCTTGGGAAAAGGCAGAAGAAATAGCTGAGAATATGTCTGTCCGCTGCTCATCTGACACGAGCTTTTCCCTTGATTCTACCAAAAAGCATTGTGACCGGGATGAGCTGGGCGGAGGCACAGGAGAAAGGAAGGCACTGTTGTGGGAGCACAGTGCAGGATCCCACAGCAATTCAGTGCTGTCCTCACCTTCATCCATTACTCTGCTCTCTGCTCTGGAGAAAAAAGTCTAGATAATGGGAGAGGAGATAATCTGCTTCCTAAAAAGATGCTGTTCATATGGTGAGGAATGAGCCGGGTGTGGTCCACACTCACACACACACACACACCCCTGTGCTCCCAACTACTCCTACTTTGGAAGCTGAGGCAGAAGGATTAATCCTGGCAATACAATCAACAATACAAAAATCCAAGATGAGGAAGAATAAAGGTAAGGACAGTCTCTCAACTGGAGCAGCAGAGCAAAGTGTTTAAATCTACAGAGTCATTGAACCCACTTAGAGACTAGACCCGGGACCAATCACTGCTGCCCAGCTGTCTCTCAGTCTCTCCGAATATTCAAGTCTATACACGCATACCCCAGGAGAGGGGCTTGTATCCAACCCAGACCTTACAAATCAAAGCTTCAAGCAAAGGCAAGGATCACTGCTGCAGCCCATCAGCGAGAGATGGCCTCATGGAAAGGCAGAGGAGAGAGCAGGGAGGGGCACAGACACAGCTGTACTCACCTGCTATGTTCTCTTTGTTGCACTGCTCTGTCGTGCAGCAACGGTTCTTATATCTAAATGTCCGCTGATCCCCCAGCGTTGCTGAGAATTCCAGGTTACTGCATGTGTCTGCATCGCTAGTACAGCTTTTATAATTAAGCAGCTTGTCTGTAAGAGTAGCTGCAGAAAATTGAAGCACGGAGTAAATTTTCCTCCTGAGCTAGTGGCACATAATCTGTTCCCCCATTCCCTCCGCCTTGAGTATTGCACTTCTCCAGGGTCCCTCTGCAATGGTCTCCTGAGAACTAGCAAACAGAGGGACCATTTGTTACAGGGAATGGCTGGTGGTAGGCTACTTGCTTAGCAGGTGTGATGATCCCCAACAGTGTAAAAGTAAGACTGGAGTCACTCCCAAAGTGCCATCATCATGTAGCATCTAAGGCCTCTATCAAGTACAAACTGCATCTCCACCATTTCCCAGAACCCCCTGCTCCCAGTCTCACCCTGGAAAGGAGACAAGGATAAACTGGATGCTCAGGGAAGGAGGGTTGGCTTACATGGTGTTTCAAATTTCATCATTTGATTGAAGCAGCCTTTAGTGGCTGTACAAGAAGTTGTAGGCACAATACAAAGTTCCAAAATGCATGTAGAGACTTCACAGGTGTAACTCTCTGAGGAGAAAGTGTAAAGCATTTAAAAGGTAATCCCAGAGCCTTGTGGTTGATGTTTCCTAGGACTCAAGAACCCATGAGGAGCTAGACAGACCACTGGTTACCTCCCCCAAGGCACTTGAAGGCTCACTTCCCCCTTCCCACCTTTAGGGGAAAGGAAGCCTTGTTTATTCTTACCCACAGATCTGACAGCTAAGATGGCAAAGACAAAGAGTGGGAGGAGGCTCTTCAGGATGGAGGACCAGGCCATGGTCCTCCAGTGAACACTGCATGAGATACGAATGAGGACAAGGGGGTCAGAGTAACGGGGCTCAGACCTGTAATCCAGCAACCCACACACTGCACTGTTTTGTTTGTCTATGTTTCCATTCAGTCACTCACTCATTAGTTCTTTCACTCATTCTTTCTGAAAGCCAAAATGTATTAAACACCGGCTTTATGTGTCTGATGTGGCCATTGGGAAGGATGCAAAACTGGGAAAGAAACCACATCCTCTATCAAGGCATGGGGTATGGAGAGGGGCTCTCCTTCCATGGCAAGAACTTTCACTCAAGAGGAATTCTTCCTGCATAGGTCCCGAAGGCACTAGATCTCCTTCAACAGTTGAAATGACTGAGTCAAGAAATGACTCCTCTGGAGAGCAGGTTGAAGGCTCTCTGTAGCTAGAAAGTTCTGGGCCATGGTGCTCGAGAGCAATCAGACCCTATGCTAAGGACATGAGTTCACCACTTCCAAAGTCACCTTCCCCCAACAGCTGGCCTCCATCACCAGGTCTCACAGCCCACAGTGGAAATGCTCACCAAGAGTATTCCTGTTCTTCTGAAAAGACTGCCTTGAGAAGGAGAGGAGGGCCAGTGATCTCACCAGAGAAGAAGAGAAGGGAATGCTTTCTCTGCCCTCACTGTCACTGACTTTTATAGCCCAGAGGACCATTGCCTGGCAATTAAGACACTGTAAAGAGCATCTTGACATGAAGCCAAGTGCACTAACCTACACTGATATCAGGAAAGAGAAAGAGATGCTGCGAGAACAACACTTCCTGACCTATGGCTGGTGGGAACGGAAGAAGGTTATGATGGTCCTGGACCTCCACTGAGCTACAGAAGAGACTTTAGGCAACTCAGAAGTTATAGAGTCAGAGGATCGTGGCCCACAGCATGTGGCTACCTTCCCCCACTTTTCCTCAATGCAAATTCCCAGCATTCCCTCTCACAGACTTTATTCTTCCTACCAGAACCAGACCCCAGTTCCCACGGGCATCTCTGCTAGAAACGAACTGGGTATGTTCCTCCACAACATATTCTTTGTTATTCTTCCTGGTTTTATGCTCAACTCTTGCTAACACTATACCAGCCTCCTTATTTGTAAGGAAAATGGAGAAATAAACAAGAAAAAAATCACAATCCATCTGTCCTTCTGTGACTGTCCAGATCTTAATCACATTTTCTCAAAATCTGGGACTGCATGGCAAGCATGAGGATCAGGGAGAACCCACCTAGGAACCCATTATGTTGAATGTTTAGAAATTCTGGGGCTATAGAAAAAAAGGACAGAATGGCTATCCAGACTTCCTGAGGCTGGGGTATGGTGGTATGGCATGAGACAAATTTCTTGTGTGTGGAAGTATGAGTGAGAACATTTTGATGGAAGGCTGGGGTGTGGAAGTATGGGAAGGAACGTTTTGACAGACATAGACCAACCGAACCTTGGCTGGAACCTCTGCAAAGACATGGAACCTCAGTGAAGGAGAAAGCTGAGCTTTGTCCTTGGTGACTGATTAAGAGTGTTGTCCACCATGTCCAAAAAGAAACAGAGAGATGGAGGCATAACACAAATGTCCAAGAGCAATGAGGACACTGGCAAGGCGTCAGACAGTACCCTGGCCTAACACATGGCCAGCAAGAACCACAGTGAGCAGAGGTTCATGTTCTCCAGGCTTTCAGATACCGGGGAAGATGACCTCCAGTCAAATATATCCACTGATCACCATAGATAGGCGTCCACTCAGGCCGTCGAGTACACCTTGCCCTTCTCAGCAAACTCCCAGATTAAGACTACTCAAATAACCTGACCTCCAAAAGCCCTGGCTGGCTAACATGATCTTACATGATCACCCACAGATCCTCTCCCTCCACCTGTGTAGTGGGCTTTGGGGAAGCTTGATCTCTGTCCCACACAACTGTAGCCAGTGTTGTGTTGGCTGATGCCACGCCAAGGACCCTGTCTACCTCCCCCACCTGGTCAGCCGACTCCTCTTCCTACATCTCGCCCAACCATCAAGGGGGGGGGCAGAGTCGGTAGTCCAGTATTTTCTCATTTAAACTGTTTGTCTGCATGTGGCCAGTCCTGTAAACATCAGATTATCCATCTGGGAGCTCAGGCTTTCTGTGCATTCACCAGCAGAACATTTGAAACACTTCAGCAAAACTGGGGGAGGGGGGGCGGGGAAAGGGGAATGAGTATGACATAATGGTGCACACTTTTAATCTCAGCTCAGGAGGCAGAGGCAGGGGGTTTGCTGTGAGTTCCAGACAAACCTGGTTTACATAAAAACTTCCAGGCACCAGGGCTACATAATAATGCCCTATCTAAGAGAGAAAGAGAAGAGAGGAAGAAGAGGAGGAGGAAAAGAGAATGAAGAGAGAGAAAGAGAGACAGAGCAAACTTCCATAAAAGAATAATTGTTTCTACTGGTGTTTCCTGGGCTTTCAATCTCAACATGTACTCTTTGTTCAGGAGCTAGAACTTCACAGAACTCAGCCCACCATTTATACAGCTACCAGGCCCCAAACAGTAAAGAGGGGATGTGCCAAAGCCAACTCAAGTTTTGGTTTCAGCTAAATCCACCAAGAGGAGCAAATGATGCAGAATCAGTCCACGGCTTCATCTCCACAAATGCTGGCGCGTTCACTTTAACATGAAGGCTTTATGAGCCTTCATGTACTTACTGACACGCCCTTGTATCAGGGAAATAGGCTAGAGCGCTCCAGTTCTTCCTCAATTACAGGTTCTGGCCCAAGGGTGGTGTCTCCATTTTGAACTTTCAGACCTATTGACCCTCCCTGATCTGTGGACAGGGCATATTCCCCAGCCCACAGGTGTTCTCCTCTTCCCTGGGGGGCTGTTGGCAGGAGGGTCAGAAGGCAAGGTGCAGGCTGCAAGCATGTCGGAAATGACCTCTGGGAACCACTTCAGGGAAAGAGTTCAACTTCATTCTGGGAGAACAAAGACTACATAGCCCTTGGGGAGTGGGGGTGGGGGGAATCCCAGGAGATGTGTACATAATTGGTTGGAACCACTTCAAGGATGCTTTATTTGCATATGACTGGGAACACAGTACCTAATTATCCTATAGGTGCAGGGAGGGGAGAGCTAGCAGGGAACTGTGCCAAGGGCCATGTATCAGACATGGTTAGGGACATCTATGCCCCTGTGCAGAGAGTAGGAGGCCCTGCTGGGGAGAGGGGCGTCCTCCATCTAGTACCAAGCTCAGAAAGGCTATCTGGACTGGGAGGATTTCAACCTCAGAGAGCAGGACAGAGCCTCAGAGAAACCAGACCTGCTGACCCTGGATGTCACAACGGCAGCCTCTGGGAACACGGGTCCATACTGTATGTTGTGTGTCGTCCTACCATGGAGCATTGTTGTGGCAGTGCTCTCAAACTCATGTGTAGAACAACTAGAAGATGAATAGAATAGCTTTAAAGGAACACTGGCTTTCTGAAAGAGAATTCTGGATAACCTACAAAGTGGCAAAAAGAAACACAGGCTAGCTCACAAAGTCCTGACGAACTGCGATTCCGTGTCACGAACAGCGGTGCTCAAACATGACTGTCTTGGAGAAGCTGACAGTTAAGGCCTCGTCAGAGACGTTAACTGGATGTTTTCAAGCCTGAGAGGCACGTTCTCATACCAATGGTGAGTGTGAATCTGAAAAAAAAAAAAAATCGCATGAGCTCACCATCCAAACAGCGGAACTCACAATGCAAAGTTTATCAAGAGCTCCCAAAACTGTTCTGCATCCCCATAAGCAACCACGGTGAGAGCATTGTGTAAACGGTGAAAGAGCCATAGTCTCTTATGTTCTCTAGAAACACGTCCAAGGTTTTAAAAAGAGGGCTGGGGAGAGGCAGGTTGCGTCGCTGACAAAAAGACAGAGCTCTGAAGCAGCAGCAGGAAAAGTCCTTGGGACTCCACACACCTCAGTGTGATCTCAAAGGCAGTAGTGGAGACCTGACTGACTTGGCAGAACCCAGCAAGAAAACTCTAAACTCTGTCCACACTAAGAAACTACACTGAGATGCCATCACATCCTAGTCAGAATGCCGGGCATCAAGAGGACAAATAATAATTAATGGGCAGTATATGGGCCTACGAATCCTTCTGGAGTGCTTGGGGGAATAGAAACTAGTGAAGCCACTGTAGAAATCAATGCAGATAGTCCTGAAAAAGTAAAAATAGACCTATCAAAGGCCCTAGCTATGGAGCGCCTTTGGGACTCTGAGTTAAGGTTTCACAGAGATATGTACATTTCAATGCTTATTGCAGCACTATGGCTAAGTCATAGAAACAACCCAGATTTCCCAAAACAGAAGAAAAAAAAAAAAAAAGAAAATGTGGCTAGAATTTTTTTTTCAGTCATCAAGAAGAGTCAAATTATCTGCAAGAAAAATGGATGTTACTGGAAATGATTACACTCAATGAGATATCCGACTCAGGAAGACAAATACCACACATTTTTCTTCCATTGTGGGTCATAGATTTTATAGATGCATAAAACCATATATGTACAGTCGATGTGAAAGAAGAAGAGAAAATACATGGAAGGACAAAGGACTAGTGGGGAAAAGGGTAGTGTGGTATGGAGGGAATCTGAGACTACGTCACACACTTGCATGGAAATGGCCTTATGTGACCCTGTAAAAGAAAATAAAACAGATCCAATTACTCAACTCTGTTGAGGATGAAGCTGTGCACCATGCTTTACATCTTTAACCCAGTACAGGAGAGTGAAGAGGAAGGACCGCCAAAAATTTGAGGCCAGTCTAAGCTATACAGCAAGTACCCAGGCTGGCAGGATTATATAGGAAAAACCCAGCCTCATAATAAAACTCCCTTCAAAAATGGTGACCATAAGATCTGAGAAAGTCCAGTCTCTTTGGTTGTGCCTTAGTTGTCACTCTGGAATTGCTTAACATAGCTCCAACCAAGACAGGCATATCCAAGAATTGGCTTTGGTGGTGTAGCTCT